GTGCATAATGCCCCTGCTAAAAAATAATAGGCAAGGCACCTTTTGAGTCAGTGCAGGAAATATTGTAATAAAATATCTCTCAGCCACGGTCACTAAAATTTAGTCTAACACACATATGCATAATGGCTGTGGTCACAAGTCCTGCTGTTCCGACAGCGTTATGTGCTCATGATGCAACTCATCTGATCTCAAAAGCTAAACAATGTTCACAAGGACCTGTGAGAGCATTCAAAACACAAAATAAGACAAAATATGTAGAGAAACCCTGACTCCTGGAGCGCTGCCTGAAAGGGAGCTTTTAAAGAGCATCTAAAATAGTTTTGCCAAACACAGTGTGTTGAAATTGCCTGAAGGAGCAGGAGCCTACAGTCGGCTGGGTGGTGACACAAGGGCAGGCAAGGAACAAGAAGCAGTTTGTCTTTGCTGCTGATTAGGACAGTGTGACAAGCAGATTGCCACAGCTCTGCTCCTGAGGCAGTCCGGCAGGACTGCTTAAGTTCCCTTTTCTCCTCCTGCTGTGCAGTGAATGGAGCACCATGAGAGAGACCTGCTGGATGAGAGGAACCATCCTTCCTGCGTGCATGAGACTATTTCTGATGTTAGAGCTCAACTGAGGCTGAAATGGTACCCAAGCAATCCAGGTAACTTCTCCTACTCTATGCATATCTGCCTCCTTGCCCATCCAGTCTCTCCTGTATGCAGCAGATGAATGCCTCATTATCAGATTCCTCTGCTTGCTTCCCGGTAGACCTAAATTACCATGTTAAATAGGATAATAATAAACACTGGCCTTTAACTACAGCACACCCTTGTTCACTCAGCAGCCTCCCTCTAATCTGATAAAGGGTCTGTAAAAGGCTACAAGGAAACACGGAGTTAGTTGTTACACGGGTGCCTCTCCCTGCTTTCTACAGGGCAATTCCTACAGCAGCAGAAGTAGATTTAGGCTCACAAAGCTGGTTTAGGGGATCTTGATCCCTACAAGAATTATCAGGTATCAAAACAGGGGCAAGGTACCAAAAGCACACGGTGGATCTGGCCTGAGACTCTTCTGCTGCATTTCAAAAGGCAAAAGTAGCCCTGTGCCATCTGCTTGCCTCAGCACTTGGACTCCAAAACCAAAGCAGCCAAGGAAATCTTTCCGGCTTAGGAAAACAGTGGGGAAGAAGAGAGATCTCACTGGTAGTGTATGCTGCCTTTGCACAGAGCTCACTGCATCTGAGGTATTAGAGAAGCTCTTTTTAACAACTACTCTGTAAAAAAGTCATCTATCTACCCAGAATAAATTATATAAAGGGACCGAACTGGATTGGGAACAGAGAGGGCTGATCTGCCCAGACTTTGAATCCCCTTAGCCCCTAGAAGCTGAAAGTGCCATTTATTTCAGCATTACAGGATTTCCTGGTTTTTTTTTTTGTTTTTTGTTTTGTTGTTGTTGGGGTTTTTTTGTATTTAGTTTACCTAATCCCCTGGATTTCTCTTGATGCAGAAAGAGGAAAAAGCCTTACAAAACAACAGGGGGTGAACACAAAGTCAAATTACTTTGCTGACCTCTTTCACACACCCAAAACAAGCAGAGAACTGCAAACTCTGGAAAGCACGAGGAGTTTCCTAGAGGATATTCCAACCATCATCCACTGAAATGCAGCCATTCCTGAAGCTCCTAACTAAATAAAGCCAAGCCTCAACGTTTGCACTAGTAGCAATGTATCTGCAGAATTCAGATGGCTTTTCTCTGGTCTTCCAAAGCCAGGAAAACCTGGCTTTCTACCTGTCTTCCTCCAGCTTCATCTTTGCAGAGCTGGCAAGCAATACAAAAAAGGAGGAAAGACATGAACTAGGCCGTCTGTCGTTGGAGGGTATGAAAGACAGTCTGAATAACAGCAGGAGAGGGAGAAGCAGCCGATGGTTATTTTTGACAGAATTGGGAGAGACTCAGATTGCAGCTTCATAAACAGTTCATCAGAGAAAAATTCTGTCCAAATTGGAGGAGCCCCTTTGGCCAAGCTCACAGAAATACACAACTCGTGTCTGGGAAGAGGGAAATATTTCAAAAATCAAAATGGTTTTCTTTAAAGAACAAAACCAAACCTCCACCCCCACCCCCGCGTGGTGCAGTAACACTAACTTGCATTCCTGTCATTGCAGCTCATGGCTTGCAGAATATTCATAGAAAATTTCTGGGTGACACCAGGCTGTGAATGTTCTGCCCGACACAGAGTCCTGACCATGCAATGAAATGAAAAATGGACTTTTTCCTGTGTCATCCAACCTCAAGGTCCCCTCGATGGACTGTTTTACAAAACTGGAGGTGATCCAGAGGGGCAGCAGGCAGAAAAATGACCGCCATAACCCCAATCCAGCCAGCTCAAATTAAATAAAAATGCCTGTTTCCTGTATATATTTGCACTGAAGAGGAGCATGGAATTCACCTCAGATACATGTGATTTTTGGTGTTGTCCTGTACAGAGCCAGGAGATGGACTTAATGATACTTAGGGGTCCTTTCTAGCTCAGGTTATTCTTTGATTCCGTGACCTCTGAACAAAAAATGAAAACTCAGTTTCATTATTAAATGCCAGTTAGATAGTATAGGTGAAGTATTTCTCATGCATTGTGATAAGAGAAGACTTAAGATGTTTTTCAGGGCAATTTCTTGATTTGTTTGTTTCTAGCATTCTTAACAATCTCTCACACAGAATCCTTTGTGTGACTGGATTAAGAAAATAAAGATCATTCCTACTCAAGAAATACCCACAAGAAACTCCAGAGGTTTCTAGGAACCTTGCTGGCAGATTCAGCCAGGAGGATGAATAGAGCCAGCGTGGATATACACTCCTCCAAAGCTTCCAAGGGAAAAGCTGACCACTAGAGGAGCCTGCTGCTGGTGTCAGGGAAATTCTGAAGGTTATGCTGTCTTTCTTCAGGATTAATTTCATTTGCTCATTAAAACACATAATGCCTGAAGTGACAAGCATCATCTCTGGCTGAAGAGAGTCCAAGCAAAATGCACCCCCAAAACCCAACCACCTCTCAAAAAGAATATTGTTTGGGGGAACTACAAACCTTGATAATTAGTCTACAATGATTTGCATGACCTGTGCTTTGTCCTTATGCCTTCCAGCTGCTTGATGGACAGGTGCAGTACAATGGAAAACACCACAGAAATGGGAATCAATGGGTTTCTTCTGTCTAACCACAATATCATTCTCACTTCATTTACTGCTTTGTGGGAAGGCATTTCTGTGGCCCAGGAATCAGCTCTTTCCAAATGGACGAGTCTCAAAGTTCAGCATTTTAGTGGTCTAAGCTAAGTAGGAGTTTGCTCATCCATAGCAGCCTGGACTGCAGAAAATCCCGTTGTCTGACCTCTTAATGCTGTCTCCTATCCAGCATTACAAGAAAAGGACATTTGGTGAGGGTTCTGTGCTAACACAGTAGGGGGGGACATGCTACAGTACATCAATCCTGGGAAATGGAGGGGGCTGGAAGCAGAACTACACTGAAACACTCCAACCAGAAACAACTTCTGTTTCTGAATCATGGAATCGTGGAGTGGTTTGGGTTGGAACGGACTTCAAAGACCACCTAGTTCCAACCCTTCTGCCACGGGCAGGAACACCTTCCACTAGACCAGGCTGCTCATCCAACAGAGCCATCAACACTTCCAGGGATGGGGAAAGAGCAATCTAGTACAGACACTTGATTAACAGGAAGGTACAGTGAGATGAACCCCCCTCCCTGACACTGGTGTGACACTGATGGAACAGATCTTTTAACCAGAAACGACAGACACAATCAACCCAAATGGACCACTATCCCTTATAACACCAGATGGCTTAAACTGGGCAGCAAAGAGGCCACTGAGAGGATCCTCTGCCCTGTACCAGGGCAAGGAAGATATGCTGAGCCTTGGCAGTGCTTTGCCCAAAAGCGCAGGCGCACCCGAGGTTGTGCTGTGTGCTTCCCACGACTGCAGTCACCTCTCACTAAAGCTGGCAGTCTCCAGTGAGGGCTGTTTTGCACAGTTAGTTAGCTGCTAGCCCACAAAAATCAGTTTATGATATTCTCCATAGCACGTGAGCTCTGAAGGTTTTTAGAATCAGTGGCAGGAGTGTAGTAAGAATGAATAACTGTCTAGTAACCTTACAGCCAGGCACACGCATGCACATTTAGTTATGCCTCCGAGCTACACTAATTATTTGTAGCAATGCTTTCATGTACCAAACCTGAAGTATCAATGAAAATATACAGCTATGTAGAAAAATGCATTCTGTGAAACAAAATGTTCACTTTCAGTCTACAAGTAAGCATATGTTACACTTACACAGCTATAACAAACAAAACTCTCACATGCCTAAATATACACAGATATACAGTGAAAGGAAGGAATATAGTTAGGGAAAAATACTTTACATATGTACAGAAAAAATGCAGGAAGGAAAACCAACTCTTTCACTTAAAACAGTATCAGTGCCAAAAATCAATCCTTTAACATGACTGCAGAAAAGAAATCAGATTTTGGAAAAAGGACAGTTTGTAATTTTTATTGCTTCTGGAGCAGTGACGTAGCAAGAGCCCACTGCTATAATTTCTCCCTTTTGTATCCTTAAAATAATTCCCACCTGGGGTGAAAAGAGAGGAAACGAAAGGAAATAGAAAATTATATTTTTCATGAGCTAATCCTGGGAGGCAAACACTCAGGTTTCCATGTTTCTGGGCAAGAATAATTTAAACAAGAACAGTAATATTTTGTTATTTCTTGCTCAGTTGGAGTGTATGCTTCCAGATAACAGACAATTAAACTGCAATTTAAGAAGAGGAGAAAGACAGTATCTGATAGGATTCAGGAGTCCTCTCTTCTTAGGACTGCTGCATAGCTCAACACAGAATACTACAAAACAGACAGCCCAGATGCAAACCTCTTTGGAAATGCTGAAGGCAAGGAAGATCATCGGAAAAACAAACAAACTGAAAGCAAAGAGAGCACAACTACTGTACCTTTACTTTGGGGAGGGTTCTGACTTCTGTCTCGGAGAACGTTAATCTGGTAGACAGCTCCATAAGGCTCAAAAAGTTCTTTTAACTCTTTTTCTGACCACGAACGGGGAATCTGTCCAACAAACATCTTAATGGCATCTGGGTCTGGTTGGTCTGAATGATCCAAAGCTCCATTCATCTTGTTAGCTGTGCCGTTACTAGAAAGTGGAAAAGGAGATTGAAAAGAAGGCAAGTTAGGAGACTACGCAGTTTTCATGTGCACTAGATGCAGAAGATGATGTCAATTGGCACAAAGAAGGAAAAAAAAAATCAGTATTTAATTAATAGCATAAGTATTACGAAAAAAAACAATGCTATTACATTTTTCATTGAGTCTGGTTTTCTCTGCAGGCTGCTGCTTAATGTCATTATATAAGATGAGAGTGGCACAACACAACCCGGGACGTTTGCATTTTAAAGCAGAGGAGAGTTGCAAATAAGTGCAGATTTTTGTCCATGGCTGTTGTAAACAGAACTGCAGTGAATTCTCACTAAACTGGCTACTGGCAGAAACAAGGCAGCGAGTGTGTGTGTGTGTGTGTGTGTTTTGTAATAAAGTCACATGAAAGGAATATGAAACACTTGGCAATCTGTCAGATGACTAATGCAAGATGCCAGCGATGAATCTGCAGATTGTGTGAAGCATCCATGTGTGCATCAAATTAGTATGATATTGCCTAGAATGGAAAACACTCCAGCTATGTGGCTGGTTGCTGCCGATTAGTTGCCTATGCTCTTTAAAAACGAAAAGCAGTCTGGAGAGCTCCAGTTTAAATCACATTGTTTATTCCTGCCATAAAAAGGGGAAAAAAAAAAAAAGTACAATTCAAAAAGAGAAGACAGTGGCAAAATTGCTTACTTTGTTGTGAAAATTAAAATACTGCTTCGAAAACTTTTTCTCCCTGCCAAAGGAGATCACATTTTTGAATGTTTTCACCCCCTCTAAATTCTTACCCTATCTGATCTCCAGATGTACATCCTACATCCAAGTTCAAAACAACCACACACTTTTGCAGGGGAAAAGAACTTAGTAACAAAAAATAATTTGATCTGGGAGACAAATGACAGGTTATGGTTTAGGAAGGGTCATACTCTTATACGGAAAACAAGTAATTTTAAATACTGAGCAAAAGTAAAATACAACTCTGCCCCCCAACCTCATGTCACTATTGATAATTAAGGACAGTAGTTTCAACTAATTACTTGGCTAGAGATTCCATAAGTGCTGATAATTTTTGGATGTTTCAGTTTCAAGAACGAACACTAATGAGATGTGACTTTTTGAGCATCCTCTTCATCCTTCCACCGGGGATAGGAGGAAAATGGTCTGTGTGCAGCAATGTCAGAAGTTGATCATGGCAGAATTCAGGCATTTCAAAGCCACCTGCCACTTCAAAAAAATTTGGCTTTAATTACAATTTCTCTGTTTGATGATTGTTCAGGAGTGAATGCCCACCGGAGGACTTGGAAGAGCTCAAAATCTGCACAACCAGATGAAAATCATATTTTACATGTGGAAAAAAAAATATCTAAGAATGGCAAGGAGAAAACTACCCTGTGTAATTCCCTTGTCTCACAGCTATAACCGGTGTGAAGACAAATTATTTAGTTTCATGTGTTTCATCTCCTTGAAAGCATAATTCACCCCAACACATTAATATGCCCATATTAACTTTAGCACTTTAGGCAGAAAAGAGAAAGTTATATTAAAGACACATTTTAAACCAACAACAAGAAGTTTGATCATCCCTTGTGAAGTGGTTTCAACATGGATCAGCAGACAACAGCATTTATCATACTCATAAATAACTACAAGTTCTATTTATTCTAGTGGGAGTTTTGCCTGAGTAAGAGACTCAAAGATTTGTTCCAAACTCTTATATCACATTTCATGCACAAATACCCTCTCATCTTAAAAATGCTCTTAATTTTGACTAAGTTTTACAGGTCACAAATACACTTGGAGAAATCATGATTTCTCCAGGTCTTAGAAACTGCATTTACATGCATACACAACACTTAAGCCAAAGCAAACCAACCATCCAAAGAACCATCTCCCCCCTAAACCACCAAGAAACACAAAAACCCTGGCTCTCTCACTTGAATGATACTCCATGGGAACAACTTTCAAGACTTTCATTAAGCACCTACATGACACTTAAACCTCTAGAAAAACCACTCCATTATTTCTTTTTAATTCCTATTCCTTTATGTAAAATCCAATCTGTCAAAAAACCTCCCTAGTAGAGAGGCTGAAAAATCCCTGACCCATAGCTTAAAATAACTAGGGAAAATGCTTTCACATTATTTTGGACCTGCGAAGACAAGAAAAGGTAGAAGCTTGGTAAAGCCCTCACTTCTGCCCTGGCCTTGGTCAGCTATTTTTTTCAGAAATTGGCTTCACTTTTCATTTCATTTATTCTCTGTGTTGTTTACATTAATGAAATGAAGTGAGTTCATTTTAAAATTATGCCCTTCATCTATTCTTTCTCTTGGATCCTTCCTTTAAGAAATTCATACACAATTGCTACTTCAGCCCAAAATTACAGCTGAGGTAATGTTTAATAAAAAATAACACGTTAATTCCTTTGCGTTTTCCTTTACCAAAACCACCTTTACCACCAGGAGGCCCACAATTTCCATTGCTAATCAGCCAATTTTTAAGAAACCACAAACTTACTTGTTTGTGGAAGAAAGAAACCAAACACTTATTTGTACCTGTTTTCTCAGCTTAATGACCTCATCAGCATCAAGTTCTTGCTTTGAGCTACAGATTTAGGTACAGGCTAAGATCTAATTTCACAAAATGCTTCAGTTTTTTCTATTTTGTTGGAACCAAAATTGAATTGATCATATTCCTTAAATGCTTTATTGGATAAAGATGGTTAAAGGCTCTGATCCAGGAGTAGGCTACCATACGCAAAACTCCAGGGGACAGGTTTTTTCACTCACTACTTGCAGTAACTTGGGCAAGTCATTAAAACTTCTCTGGACTAAATTCCACCATCCACTGACAGCTCTGTCAATCCACTAACTCCTGCAGATTTAGGAAAAAACGAAGCACAATTTAGACTTTTCTTTATAATACTTTTCTACCACAAGGTAGGGGCTTGACTGAGCTGCCAACATTTTGGGGGGTTGACAGACAAGTTCAGGCCACAGAGAGGGCACTCATTTCTACAAGCACAGCTGGGCTCCTTCCTAAATTGCATTTCCTTTGATTTCAGTGCAAACTAAGGCTCTCAAGCACCTCAGAGGGATAATGCAAGTCTCACTGTTGGGATTTTGAGGAGCTCATGAACACTGCTGCAGCAAGACGCTTCACTAGCATCGTCACCCAGCTTCAGCAGTAGCTGTAGGATTAGAGCCAGTGCAGTCAAACTAAACAGGTGAATAAAACAACAGAGAGATAACAATGGAAAAAAAAAAAAACCCTCAGTTTTATAGATTCTATGGATCTGATCCCTGCAGTGTACTTGAATGTTCCACTGAGTAACAAAACTATACACCACACCTGCCTGATGGTTCAGTTGTCACAGAACTTGTTTGATCAATAGAAAATCCATCCAAATATCCTTAAATCCTTGCAAATACCCTCTGCTAAAGATGCATTCCCTTATCCTCTCCAAACCTTCATCTTCACCCAATGGACATTAGTGCTCTGAACTAAGATCTCTTGGTTGCCAACAGCTGCAGGGTTTTTACTAACTTCTCTCTGCCAACACAATGACTCTCAGAGGAAGCGGCTTCTTCCTTCCCCCATCTTCCCCTTCTCCTGTACCCAAGAAATAACAAGGCAAAAAGAGAAACTACACATAAAACTTTCCAAAAGAAGCAAAGCAGACCTTGTGAAAGTTTAGGACTATTTCTTGAAAGCATGAGTGTACAGCTGTGTCTAGGGGACACTAATGAGAATGGAATCCCTTGACAATTACTGTCAGTATCCAAATGATGATATATATTTAAAAAAAAAAAAAAAAAAAAGAGGAAAGAAATTAGATTATGTGGCTTGCTGGCTCTACATTGTAGCAATCCTTCCCTCCATGGCCAATTTAGCCCATTGGACTCAGGGGTGACCCAGCACATCATCTTCACTGACAAGGTGTCATCTATATCGTAGAGAGCAGCCTGAGGGCAGAGATTAAGCCACTGAGTCGCTGGCTGCTTGTGGTTGCTGCCAGAGCATCTTCTCTCTCAATTTGTGCCAATTTTCCTTCTAATAACCTAACTACCATTCCATCATTTCAGCAAGTTGACAGGACCACTCCTGAGGAGCTAGAGATTGTTTTAATATCCCTGCTGCTTCAGCGGGAAGCACCAGAAAAACCTGGTAGATTCCTTCTCTGTCTCTTCCATTCATATCTGTAATTACTGCAAGACTGCTAAAAGTGAACTGGCCACTGAGGACAGAGAGGGAGCCTTCAGAAACAATGTCTGGATCAAAAGAGACTCTTTTAAATTCATCACCGTTAAGAGCTTTGGTGTTAATCCACATTCATTTCCATTAATGACCTCAGTGTCAAACCAGGTGCTGAAAAACAGCTGTTAACAGGGACCAAACAGATTTACATGAGACCTGTTTTTCAAATCTATTTTTAACCCTACACAGAACTTTCACATTGTTGTTTTTTGGCTAATTCATGTTGCAACCCTCATCCTATTCTAGTGGTTTTACCATTTTGCTGGGGATTTGCCTTTTTTCATGTTCTATGGTATAAGACGCAAGAGCCAACAGAGCAAGAGCGTGATAACAAATGGGTTCCAAGTGTAAAACCAACTAAATCCACCCCAGCACTGAGGCATTTGCAGGCACCGAGGTTTTACAATAACAAGTATTTACATCTGAGCCATGGCATCACTGCCAGGATACCACACAAGCTGAAAAAAAAGAGCCAACACCCGTTCGAAGGCCTCTGACTGCTATCAGGAGACACAACCAAGCACCACCTTGCCTTACTCCAAAAGATCATAATTGCTGGTTTACGAGCAAATTTTATCTGGAAGGACCCAAAAGGGCTTTATAAACTCATTGTTTAGAGAGGAATGACTTCATCGTAAGGTGACAGACGGCAGCTGTTTAATGACATGGAGCATTATCGCACAACAGTTTCAGCCAGGAAGGGTAGAACAATACCGTACCCAATTGAAAACTGCAGGG